TCTTTTGTGATATTTAGTGATTTTTCAAAACTTCATTTTTTGTGATTTTTTGCGATTTTTCAAAAAAATTTCATTTTTTTGCGATTTTTCAAAAAATTTTCATTTTTTTGCGATTTTTCAAAATTTTTTCTTTTTTGTGATTTTTTGCGATTTTTCAAAAAAATTCGATTTTTTGTTATTTTTTTTAAAAATTTCATTTTTTGTGAATTTTCAAAAATTTTAATTTTTTTGAATTGTTTATTATTTTTATTTTTCGTGATTTTTTGTGCTTTTTCAAGATTTTATCATTTTTCATGATTTTTCTTGATCTTTCAAGATTTCATTTTTCGTTATTTTTTGATGTTTTTTCATTTCTCGAGATTTTTCGTGACACTGAAGCAGTTCCAGCAGTACATTCTCAGCAAAGATATAGGCTTTATTTTATTTTTTTTAACTACTTTATTAAAAATATATATCATGCTGGCAACATTTCATGCAAACTACAACTTGTAACTCACAGAAACCCCCAAAGGACAGGCCTCTTCCTGCAGTGGCGGCCAGCTCCAGCTCATCGGGTTCTAGAGGTGACGGTGGATGCGTAGATGATGCGCTACTTGTGAAAAACCCTCAATGCTTTTGAAGCACAAGGTGCACAGCAAATTCATTGGTGTTCAATTTTTAAGTGTTGTGGTAATTCAGAGTGAAGTGTTAAAATTCTAGAGTTATATAAAGTGTCACACTAGAGCTCCAGCAGATCTTTATGACACACAGACATCAAGAATCAGGATATGAACCTCAACCATGGTTGCTAAAAAGAAAAAAGCTGCATATTTCATGCTATGTGCCAGCATAGTACAAAGCTCCCAGCATGCATTGCATCATAAATAAATTATGCAGCTTTATGTTGTTACAATCTCTTTCTTTTTATTTATTTTGTGTTGTGTTTGGGAGGTAATATTTCAGTAGTTTTTTTAATTGATTTTTATTTTTTTGTTTGTCACCATTATTGAGATTCAAAGACTAATTGTTGATGTCTGTGTGTTTTTAAGTGCTGCCATAGATCAAACATTCACATTGTAAATCATGCTTTTAAAGCTGCAGTGGTTTCATTTATGTATTTTATTTATTTCACACACATAACAAATGTGACACTGAATTAGAAAACAAGCAGGAGAAGATGGCTTTGATATCATAGTTAATCTCTTCAGACTGACTCTTACATTTTCTTATGAATTTTCATGCTACATGTAAGAATAGTGTGATTAGCACTAATAATTATAGCATCCAAATTAAAAAAAAAAACCATTTTATAGCAAGAAGTTGAAGAGCCATACTAAAGCAGACTCTGTCCTCCATCATGGTGACTTCAAATGAACAACAGAAATTTAATAAAGAGCTTTTGTTCATATGACAGAATTAAAGCCAAAGCTCAGTAATAAGTGAAGCTCCATGATGAGTTGTTTAATGTGATGAGTTGTTTTAAAGATGTTGAAAATAAAAATAAATTTTATTGTGTAATTTTTTTTTATTTTTTTTTATTCATTATTATTTTATTTAAAGTTTTATTCTCAGTTGATTTCATCTTTGGTTTTGGCTACTGCTGCCAGTATTTTGATATACATTTTACATATATTTTACACAATAAGAGTTTGCTAATTAACACTCTCTGAGTGGTAAAATTTTTTAACACTTTCAAAAGTGTTATTTTAACACTTTTATAGTGGTTCCCATATAAACACTGAGGGAGTGTTAATTTGAACTCTAAGGTAGTTAAATCTACAATCTAAAATTTGCAGTGTGTATAACCCTTTATTATTGTCTTTAATTGTTTATGTACCATAGCATAATCAATGAAACACAACATCAAAACACTGTGCTGATGAGATTGTCTTCTTGCTGCTTTGACACTGACTTTTGCCCATCTTGTGTTTTTTTTTTCCTCCTTTAGCAGTTGAGGACAAAGGCGGTCTGCCGAAGAAACCACTCAGCTTCCCTGAAAGACAAGGTATATCACATAATGAATGTCACTTATTAACATTTATTCATACTGTTGTAGCATGAACTACAGCTGAGGGCCCTCCTGTGAAATATTTATTTAAGGTAATGGAGCAAGGACATGTTCACAGTACTTGCGATAGTATATTATATTCTGAAGAAAGTTTTATTTGTTTTATTATTTATGTTTTTCTATTGGCTACAGAACAAACAGTGTTAAGCTAGTTAAGCCTTTACTTTCTCAATCTGAATATGGTAACACTTCAGTATAATAGTCCTTTAGTTAAATAATTTACTAACACTAAGTATCGCCAATCTTGTGCAGCATTTATTAATTACAGTTCAACATTAATGCATTATTAAAATCCAAAGTTGTGCTTGTTGCACAGTGCATTATTGAACTAACGTTATTTAACTTAAATAACATCATTAACAAAGATAAATTTATACTGTAATTAATGTATTAAATTTCTTGTTCATGTTAGTAAATGCATTAACTAATATTAACTAATGGACTATTACTCTAAAGTGTTACCTTAAAGGGTGACACTTTACAATAAGTTTGTATTAGTTAATGTCAAAGCATTTACTACCATAAACAAGCAATGAACAATATACTAAATACAGTATTTGTTCGTGTTACAGTCATCCATGCCAACTCACAGTCCATCAACTAAGCATTAAATATTATTTTAATAAAGCATTAGTACATGTTGAACTATGATTAAAAATGTTGTACAAGCATTTTTCATAATTAGTTCATGTTAGTAAATACATTATCTAATGAAACCTTATTGTAAAGTGTGACCCAATATTATGTTCTGTCATCATGGCAAAGATAAATTATAAGAAATTAAGTTATTAGAACTATTATGTTTAGAAATGTGCCTGAACAAGTCCTCTCTCCATTACACATAAATTGTGAAAAATAAACTCAAATTTAACAGGGGGGCTTATAATTCCGGCTTCAACTGTGTGCATTAATAAATAAAATTCATCACACTAAGACACTGTCTTCTGATAATCACAACTTTGCTCATTTAGGAGCCAGGGAAGCAAAGAGAAGAAAACGTTCCTGTGAAGATCTGTCACAGAAGCCCCACTCAGACTCTCCACTGTCTGCTGTAAGTTTATCATTTGTACATCACAATTAGGTGGTGTATAAACTCCTGAATACAGTTTTGTGAGCATAGATGGGGAGGCTGTGCAAAAAGTATGATTATGTCAATGAAAAAGGATTTAACTATTATACTTACTTTGTTGAAGGCTCCTGCGTCAACTTCTTTATTGGAGGCTCCTGCATCAGCCTCATCAGTTCCTGTTTTTTCTTCTTCATCCGCTCCTGCATCAGCCTCGTCATTTCCCGCCTCGGCTTCTTCATCGGCTCCTGCATCAGCCTCATCAGTTCCTGCCTTGGCTTCTTCATCGGCTCTTGCATTAGCCTCGTCAGTTTCTGCCTCGGCTTCTTCATCGGCTCCTGCATCAGCCTCGTCAGTTCCTGCCTCGGCTTCTTCATCGGCTCCTGCATCAACCTTGTCAGTTCCTGCCTCGGCTTCTTCATCGGCTCCTGCATCAGCTTCTGTGTCAGCTTCTGACGTTCAACCTAGAAGGTCATCTGGTGGGTCAACACACAGTGACCCAGCACATTCTGAGGTAACTGTCAAAGAACTCTGTGGTTGTGAAGATAAGAAAAATTAATACTTTAATACTAAAACTTTAATTGATTTTAACACAGATTTGTCTCGGTTATTCTAATTACCAGGTGTCATTTGAGGGTTGGCACAAGATGTGGGAGTCTGGTCTTCATGGGCTGCCCAGTGCAGACATACTGTGGCTTAAGGAGGATGCTGAAAGGGGACTCTTTCAGAGGGCCATGTCTTATAAAGACAAACATGGAAACAGAAAGTGGAGGAAAGTCCTGAAGGATGACCGGATGTGGTTTCACCCTCCAGAATTTCCTGGAGTGGTGGAAGGAAAAGTCCCCTCAGCAGACTCCTTTTTTCGCAGATCCGTTTTTTTCTGGAGACCAGTCGGTGTGTGGCGTTACAGTCTTCGGTGCCCAAGGTCTGACTGCCCAGCACGCACCAATCAGAAGGCTTTTCTCTACCGTTGTGGGTATTCATCCACGGTAAGACAGATCTGCCACATGTCTGGCTGGTACTCCATGCTGACTGAGGTCCTGGCATGCAACGCCTGTAGAAAGGCTGCAAAGGAGTCGGAAGAGCATACTATTGGTCGTTTCCTGTCATGGGATCAGTGCATCCTTAACCAGCTCAGTCCAGCTCACAGAGCGGTGTTTCCTGCTGTCTTGACGCTACGGTGAGTCTCTAGCAGAATACAAATCATTGTAAAATTATTCAGAGTCTAATAAAAGTTAAGACTCACCATCATCTAATGATTGTGTTGCTCCTATGATTCTAGGCGTGGCGTGGACAAGCAGGTGATCCGCCTGATGAGGGATCGCACTGAGGGAAATACCATGGTGAAAGTTTGGAGACAGGTGCAGGAGAGCCACTGCGAGGACTATCTGCAGAGAAAGGACTTGTACACCACTCTTCTCAGCCAGTACAACAAACCTGGGAAGATCACTCGTAAGTCAGAGTTAATTGTTTTCTTTAAGGGATAGTTCACCCAGAAATGAGTGAACCTTTATGAGTTTCTCTCTTTTGTTAAACACAAAAGAAGATATTCTGAAGAAAGCCGAAATCCTGAAACCATTGTCTTCCATTGTAAAAAAACAAACAAATACTATGGAAGTCAATGGTTACAGGTTTCTGACATTTTTCTAAATATCTTGTTTAGTGTTTAAAGGAAACCCATAATGGTTTACAATCATTAAAAGGATCAGCAAATGATGAAAGAATTATTATTTTTAAATTCCTATCCTTTTGAGCATTTATTCAAAGATTAAGCAGACTGATGAGAATGGCGTTCCTTATCTCAGAGGCAGATAACATCGAGGACTACCGTACTCAGATTATGTCCACATTTGGGCAAGTCCTGAAGTACGACTCCACCAAGAAGGTAAATTTAACACAATGGAAAAAAAGTCAGTTTGTAAACGTATTGCTAAACCTTTTTACTGTTAATCTTTCAGGAAATCTTTTATCAGAGAGATTTTATCCTTAAAATATTATTGTCCACTTTTGCATCATGGGACATTTTAATCATTAATTATTAATGACAATTGATAAGTAAAGTATTATTAATTGTTCAATAAATTAATATCTAATATGGGTTACTAGTGCTTTAAAATCCTGTTTGTCACCATCACACGCACCAGATTATTAATCATACTTACCTACATCTTTGTGTGTCGTTTTCTTCACTTCAGGTTTCCTCTTGCATGCTCTGCATCCGAAATCTAATGAGCTGCAATGCAAAAACACATTATTAATTCATTTCTGAATATTAGTGACTATTACTTTCTTGGTCTGGTGCAGAAAAAAAAAATACAAAATACAAAAATGTTTAAATCTGTTTGTGTTGTATTTGTTATCAGATCTGCAAGAAACTCTCCGGCGATGGAAAAGGCACTGCAGAGTGGTGTACCAATGTGGCCAACGAGCAGGGGCAGATCCTCATATCTGTTCTCACCTGTGAGGAGTCATTGGAGAAGATGAGGCCGATGGCTGAAGGCCTCATGGAGAGGTACAGGAGAGCTGACGAGGCACCGCCCGAGCTCATGTATGTGGATCGTGGCTGCTGTCGCGTCCATGCCGTGTCCTCGGTTGAGCAGCTCTTCAGTGACTGGACGGACAGGGGCATGCTGGTACGGCTGGACATCTTTCATTGGATCCATCGATTCGATGCAGCCCTACGGACAGATCATCATCCAAAGTATGCCCTGTTCAAGTCTGCCCTCTCTGCTGCCGTCTTTGCCTACAACAAAGACGACATGGCTCTTCTGGTACAGGCGATACGTGCCGGTCACCCAACCAACGATGCCTCCCTGACTGACAGCCAGATCATCGAGCTGCGTGTCAGTAAATATGACCTCAGCCATTACGTCAGGAGGATCACAGTTGGTGCACAGGAAACATGTGCGCGCGTGCAGTGCGCCATTGATCTCCTGAAGGGAGCCGCAGGGATGGATGAGAACCAGGTGCATCTGTTTAAGGACTCTGCAGCCATCGACCACGTCTGGGAGAACCAGCAGAAGCACCTTGAATGCATCCAGGATCCTCCAGGGAGGAACATGTACACCATCACCAAGTATGTGACCCGTAACGGTGTTCGTCTTGCGCGGTACAGTACGGTGAGAGGAAGCAACAGTCTGGAGGGCTTTCATTCCTTTCTGCCTGACATGATCCCGGGACCCCACTGTGCTGCCGTCCCGTTTCAAATCTATCTGTTGGCTGGCATCGCACGCTGGAACTCTAACAGGGAGTCAGCCAGCGTCCAAGGGCGGAAAGGGAGGAAACATATGGTGTACATGTCTCCTCTGGTCCATCGCCTAAACCAAAGGTGCCAGGAGCTATTTGGGGAGGTGGAGGAGGCAAACTACAGGCCTCCGGTTCCTGCTGGTGATGAGCGCATTGGTCTGGAGTACCTGTTTTCCCAGTCCTCAGAGCCCTTCAGTGCTCCTGATCATTACGCTCAGACTAGAGAGACACTTCAGGCAGATGAGGATGAGGACGAAGATGTTCCTGCTGGGGTGGCAGAGGAAGAGGAAGAGCTGCAGGAGGAAGATGATGATGTGGGCTACTCCTCAGACCGCGAGAGGGACAGCCTGACTCCTCTGAGGAACCGTCTGTGCCTCACCGATCAGGCAGTGGCTGCTGAATTTGACCCCTGTGTGGAGGACGTGTGCGGTCCCAATCATCTGCCTGGGTACCAGCACGTAGAGGATCTGTGTAAAGTCCTTGTTGAGATCGCCCTGGAGGAAGGAAAACTTGCCTTAAATGAGTCGACCAGGCAAAAGGTCATCAGCGCCTGGAACAAGCTTGACCTCCATGACCGCAGCATCCAACAATTCGACAGCCTCTACTCTGCACGCTGGGGCAATGCTCTGTTTGGCCGCACCAGTGGAGATCCAACTGAGGCGTCCCTGGTGCAGAAGCTCAAGTTCAGCAAGCGGTACTCAGCCGCACACTTGGTGGACTCCAGAAAGAACCGGCTGATGTACTGCCTGGTCAAACAGCTGTGGCTTCATCCTGGTGTTGGAGGAAAAGCTAAAGGGTCACCGCTGAAACAGCAAATCACTAAACTGTACCAGCGTGTGCAGCAGAGAGTGACGGTGGACGATGATCAGCTCAGCAAACTCGGGATTCCCATTCTGAAAATAAATTCAAAGTGCGTGAGCGAGTTCATCAGGAGGCAGGAGGCACTGTCAGCCACAAACGTCACCGACCAGGGTCTGTCTGTCCTCCGTCGTCACCAGAGCGTCTCCAGCACCAGCCAGCCCCCCGCTGAGGAGCTTCCAGAGGAAAGACCCCATACCAGCCGGCCTGCAGTGCAGTATCCCATCACCACTTCTCTGGCCGGCACCCGAAAGTTGAAGCAAAGGCTCCCGCAAATCTTACCTGTCCCTCCCTCTGCTCTTGCTCAACCAGTTCCTGCGCCGGCCCATTCGATGCCCGCAGGACTCCGGCACACACACACTCCGCTGACTGCACCTCCCGCTGTTTCCTTGCCGCATGCATCCACTCCGCCACTGTTGCCCTCAAGATCAACAGTCTACAAGAGGAAAAAGGCAGAACTCAGTGGCTCTGGACATCCAACCTCAGTGAAGGTTTACATCTGTGCTCTGTGTGGCCAACCAACTCAAGGCCACAAGAAATACAGAAAGAAGAGCTACTGTGAGAGCTCCAAAGCCTCCACGTCCACAAACCTTGCTGGGCTCTCAGTCTCAGGCCTCCGAGTCTGTCTAACTGGACCTCTATCCATGTTGCGGTTCATAGTTCTTGACTTGTAACAGTGTTATTGTTGCAAAAATGGATATGTTATAATAACAGTTGGTTGTTTGAAAGTTTACAGTGTTTTACACTAATCTGTTGATTGTTGTAACACTGGTATTGATGCAAAAATGTATGTTATAATAACAGTTGATTTTTTAAAAGTTTACAGGTTTTTACGGTTTGCACTAATTTGTTGACTGTTTTTTACACTTATTGTTGCACAAATGTTCGCAATATTAACAGTTGACTGTTTCAGAGTACACATAGTTTTATACTAATTTGTAGATTGTAACTTATTGTTAATTTACAAAAGTTAAGCTTTTTTTTTTTTTTTTACAGTTTGCACTAATTTGTTGATTGTTGTAGAAACATATTTTATATTAACATTTGACTGTTTAAGTTTACAGTGTTTTACACTAATTTGTTGATTGTTGTAACACTGTTTTGTTCCAGAAATGTATGTTATATTAACAGTTTATTGTTTTACAGTTTACAGTATTTCTTTAATTGTTTTCTTGTTTTTATTTATTTATGTATGTATTTATTTATGTTTATTAAGTATATATTATCATAATGTTATTTAAAGTACTTTAATATAATTATTTAATTTAATTATTTATTTATTATAAATTTTTAGTAATAAAAAATATATAATTATGTTATTTAAAGTACTTTAATTATTACTTTGTGATAACTAATGTTGCTTTATATACTTTAATTGTTAGCTTAGTTTTTTTTTTAAGAGGATTTATTTTTTTATTTATTTTTTTATATCTAAATGCTTGACCTGGCAGTATTTTTTATGTATACAATATAGTCTTATATCTATAACTGCTATCAGTAATATTAAAACTAATGATTGTAATAGTAATGTGTTTTTTATTATGTACAAAGTATATCTATAGTATACATTTTTATGTCAGGCAGGTCTAACAATATGTTTAGAACTTTTCTTTTGCACTTTTAATAAATTTGGATAATAAAATACAATCTCGTGTTTCTTTTTGTATGTGTTGGAAGGACTTCATTGGTTTTTAAAAATTGACTAAATCTTCTGATTTTGAATTTAATTTAGAATCATTATCTAAGTCTATGACAATAATATGCAGTCCATTTTAATAGTAACCTCTGGTACAGGCGCTCTGAAAAGTCTATTGCTCCTCTGTGTTTTTCCAAGTCCAGCTCTGGAGTCGATGACAGCTTATCCTGTTGCCGTCAGATGGGATGCCAGTGGATTCATCCTTAAACCACACTCCAACATCAAGCTCCACCTGCAACACACAAATACAAAAACAGTACATTATTCAAATATTCTATGCCATTACACTCTCAAAATAGAACTGTTGTAATTTGTTACAAAGTAGTTAGTTACTATAATTAAAATACTTACCCAGTAACAAAGTAAGGGATTATTATTCATTTTATGTAATTGTATTACTGCTATTAGAAATATGATGGTATATCTGTATAATATAATAGAACAGAAGCAAAATGTTTCCATTTTTTGTTATACAAACATATTTAAGAATAATTCTACTAAACATTATGCATTTATAAAAAAGTTTGACCTTTAATTACTACTATTAATTATATTACATATGAATATTTTATTTATAGAACTGATATTACATATATTAATTTATATATTCCATTTGTTGAGGTTTATGGGGATTTTGAGTGAACCATTAAAAGTAATTTAATTTAAAAAGCAACTTAAATTTTAATAACAAACTTATTAAATGATCATTTCATGGTTCACTTTTATGCACAGTTAGGGTTGTTTGCTTTAATTTCAAAAGCACCACATATATGCAACGTGTCCTGACAGTTACTACTATTTGTTTTGATGACATCACCAGGTGGTTGTTCACTCGCAAAAGCAGTTCATTCATGGTTTGCTGAAACTCAATCAACCAATCAGGTGCTGTAATTGCCTACACATCTAAAATGAAATTTGCACGCCGTACAGGTCGATCGCCTGGGGACAGAATCTGCCCAGGGAACGTGCAATGGTAACTGTAGACTGTAGACTCTCGTCCAACGAGAAGCCGCGATTGTCTACAGTTTGCTTAGACCATGGGCTAATCGGAGGGATGCATTGTCTAAAGTTTAAAATCAGGGCCAATCAGCGCTAAGGATTTTCCAAAGTTTCTCTTGCTCTGAATGCTCAATTTATCGGGTCAGAAAGTTCATCTGCCGAGATAAATTCGTATGTTAAAGTGATTTTGTGTGGAAAGTTATTTTTATACTGTTATATTGATGCACAGTATGTTTTGTTCACGACATGTTTAAAATATCTCACTTTTTGAGCAGTATTCGTGAGGCTGCGCCTTCAGAAAGTACACCTGTCGTAGAGATTTCGTGTGGTAAGTTATTTTAATACTGTTATATTGATGCACAGTATGTTCTGGTTACATCACGTTCGAAGTTTTTCACTCTTTGTGCAGCATTTTGTCTTTGTTCGTGAGGCTGCGCTGTCATCAAGTACACCTGTCATAGTGATTTAGAGTGGTAGGTTATTTTTATCCTGTTCTGATAAACAGTATGTTTTGCTCACATCACATTTAAAATATTTCACTGTGTGTGCAGTATTTTGTCTGTGTGCCTGACGCTGCGCTGTCAGACGTTCATCCATTACAGAGATTTTGTGCGGTAAGTTATTTTTATTGTTACATTAATGCTAAGGTCACATCATGTATGAAATATCTCATTCTTTGTGCAGTGTTTGGTCTGTGCTGGTGACGCTGTGTCGTCAGAAAGTTCACCTGTCCTAGAGATTTCGTTTTGTAGGTTATTTTGATACTGTTATATTACTTACATGTATATATGGCTGCACAAAAACTGAAAATGTTTAGCTTATGTATTATTTTCAACGCTCGTGTCGGTTTGATAGCTCCATTTACATAGTAAACAGTTGTTTCATTAAAATATAGCAACCATCATGCTAATAAATAAATATCCCTTCATATACAGCAATATATGTGACCATGACAATTATTATCATTAGTTGTTACTATGAGAAGTAAAGAACATTTTAAGATCTTAGCTGGGACAAAACATATGATCCATACCTGTACACAGTAAAATCATCAGAGTAAAATTTACTCAGTTCAGAGAACATTTGGTCCCTCTCTAAATTGAGCAAAATTTACTCAGCAGCAGAGTAAAGTTAATGAGCCGATGATGAGTTTAATTAAGTGATGATTGAGCACTGATGATGAACACCTGCTGTTAATATGCAGAAACAGAAGAGAAGCAGCAGCAGCTACGCTCATTGCTTACCTGATTGACTTTATTTCTGTCAGATGTTCAAAAAATCCATATGAGACTGTGGCGAGGGGGCGTGGCCAAGAGCCGTGGGAACATAGTAAGGCCACCGCGTAAGTGGATACACCTGCGGTGCGCACCTGCCTCGTATCCCACGGAAGGAGCTCTGGACCATAAAAGGAGGAACTATGGCAGAGGAAGCCGAGAGAGGACCGGGCCCGGACATATTTTACTTTTGCTTTCAGTTTGACGGCAGTCTTCGTGAGGAGCTGCCGTCCGTCCGTCCGTTTTGATTTAGACACGGAGACTGCCGTCCCTGTTATTAATAAATATTTTAAAACTGCGTTGGTTCTCCGCCTCCTTCTATCTGGCGGCCAAAGGGCCATGAACTTTATTACAGTGGTGCCGAAGCCCGGGAGAAGGAGGGACGCGTTGTCCAGATGCCCTTGCCGCTGAGAGAGGGGCGAGTGTTTGGGAGTTAACCCGAGTGGGGGAGAAACCTGTTCGTCTGCCCAGAGTGCCGGGGCGGCCTGAGGCTGGCGAGGAAAGGATCTGCCTGCTGCCGTCTCCCAGCATGGGGAGGAGCAGGAGACGCAAGGCTCACCACCGAAGGGGAAAGTGCTGAAGGGAGCCATCCCACAGAACCTGGGGGAGTTGCCGCGATCCACCATGATGCCAGAGCCTGCATCCATCCACGGAAGCGGAGCAGGAGACCAGAGATGCCGCCAGCCAGCCAGGAGAACCGCCGCCGGACGCCAGAAGACAGACGGGTGGATAGATTCCTCCACAGGGCTCCCAGCACGTCATCGCATCTCTCAGCTGGTGGAGGACCGAGTGGCAGCGTGTCTGGAGAACCGAACCCCAATTTTTTTTTCTTTTTCCTCTCTCCCCTTTCCTGGTCTACTCTGTCTTTCCTTTTTTTTCATCTCCTGTTCTCTCGGCCCATCTCATATAGGTCTCGCAGGGGCTGTGGCGCCAACCCCCCCCCATTGTCTCCGTGAGGAGCTGCCGTCCCTGTTATTAATAAATATTTTTAAACTACGTCGGTTCTCCGCCTCCTTCTTCCAGGCGGCCAAAGGGCCGTGAACTTTATTACAGAGACTTATAGTGAAGTCCAGTGTTGTAATGAGAAACTAAATCATTTGGTGATAAAAGGTTAGTAATTTCAGGAAGAGAGTTAATACTAGCAAAAAAAGGATTCTAAATTAATATGTTTTATGTTACGGAAGGAAATAGTACGGAGAGATTTGGTGGAAGAAAGAGAGAGTGCAAAATTAAATCAGAGGAGAAAATTATCCATTATAGGGAGTTCCTCAGCAGAGAGGTCAATGGGTGAAACACCAGAGCAGCAGATGAGGTCGAGGGTGTGTCCTTTAGAGTGTGTGGGAACATTGACATGCTGTTGAAGTCCAAAGCTCTCAAGACAGGATATAAAATCTCTTGTAAGGGAGTTATTAAAATTATCCACATAAATATTAAACTCTCCTAAAACTATAATATTAGGTGAGAGGGTGGTAATATGTGTTAAAAAGCAGCAAAGTCATTTAGAAATTCATTATTTAGTTTGGGTGGACGATAAATTATAGCAACATTTGTAGGTGTGGATCCAGAAAGTTTTGAAATCATAGATTCGAATGAAGGAATAATGTGAAAATGTTTTTAAAGGAAAATGAGAAAGATTTTCAAGAATGTGTTCTCAAAAATTTCTACATTTGTTTCAGAAACAAAGTGCATAAAAGACCAGTTTCAGAACAATTTTGGAAAAAAATATTTGTGGAAATAGACGAAGAGGGAATCTGGAAGAATTTAAAATGGAAATATTTAGACGCAAAAATTGAAACGTTGGATTATTTTATCAGACATAATGTTATTTTCACTGAAACAAAACTGACACAAATTGGAAGCAGTGAGAATGCATTATGCAAAATATGTGGACTGGAAAATGAAGGTATTATGCATTTGTTTTTAAAATGTGTTGAATTTAATACATTTATGGCAAAGTTAAAAGAAAGTATTAAACAAATGATGCCAAGTAAAACAGAGCTGAT